AATCACTCAGTCTGTGGTAATTTGTCAATCCGTTTAAGTAGACTAGCATACCCACCCTTGACCTATGTCAATTGTTTAGTCAAGAACCTTGCTTCAAGAAGTTTACAATGTTTTAGAATTTTAAAGAGAAAACTCGAGTTTGGAACCTATCATAGCTCATAACCTGGCACAGGGAGACAATTCAGCAGAACATTTCCAAATATAAAGTTTTCCAGTAATTTGAGGTGGAGCTGCTTTATTCTTCTTACTATATAAGAAAATGAAAGGGTAGCATCTTTTCTTATCTACTGGTAGATATTTTCCATTTTGATCTTTATTAAAAAAACAGAGGTCAAATTATAATTTAATCTTCTAATATCTGGTTTTCATGATTTGCTAAAGAACATTGGTAATAAATGATTTGAGGGAAATGGCAAACTGATATGATAGTGCAGGGAAGGTGTTTACAATGACAGAAAGGTTTCTTGCCAGCTGAAGATGGACTGAGACGGTGTGTCTCCTTCCAGCCTGTCAGCGAGCTGACGCTTCTTCATTGGCAGACACCCCAAAACAGGCTTGTGGCCGCATATGTCTGGAACATGTGTTATTAGCAGGAGTTTTGTTATTCTCAAAAAGCAGCAATTAGCTCTTGAATGGTGGGGAAAGAAACTCTTAAAGAGTAAAATAGTCCATATCTCCCGAAAATGTTAGAATAATGTAAAAGTCAAAGTTCCAGCTGTCTAAGGGAGACTGTTAGGGGAAAACAGGCTAAGAAATGCTGATTCAAAATGATGGACCCATGCACTGAACCCTACTGTAGCTCCAAGCTTGTGGACTACCCAAAGAGAGAAGGGCACAATAGCTACATCAATCAGACCTTATCCCACCTTTGTACTTCAGTGGAGTCTGAGGAAATGAACAACAATCCCAGGACAAAAGACCTAAGATGAGAGAGAGAGAGAGAGAGAAAAAGAGAGATGCTTAGCAGAATGAAGGCTCCAATTGGCAACTTGGAAAATGGACTACTTTAGGTTTCTTGTCTTGTTCGTTAAATGCGATGCAGATGTGCTGCAATACAAACAATAATATGGTGAACAAGATCAGAAGACATGATGAAACTCTGAAGGAGGGTGAGGGTCTGAAAAACAAACATCCATGCTCTCTGAGACAGAAAGTAGAGGGAAGAGGAAGAAGTTTTTCAGAGAAAGATCAACCGGTCAGATTTCAATCAAGTGATGATGAGATCATGGTTGGAAACAATAACAGTGGAGGTGCAAAGGGCGTTCAAGATTGAGGAGATAATACAAAGTGTGATGGATGTGATTAGGCAGAGGACTGACTTCAGCGAGAGCACGGGAAGATAAGGAGCTAATGAAGACGCCTTTGGAAAGAATGTCAAGAGGTCACGGGGTCTGAAGCTTGCCAACTTTTTCAGAGGAAACCCAAAATTTCTCCATGATTAGTCAGAATTAGCTCTGGAAATGACTATCTTAGAGCTCAGTTTGCAAAGTGATGCCCACAAGGCCAATGTGTTTTCTAGAAGATTTCACAGCTTTGTATTAACGATACTTTTTTTTAGAAGATTTATTTATTTATTTATTTTAAAGATTTATTTTTATTATGTTTTTATTGGAAAGGCGGATATACAGAGAGGAGAGACAGAGAGGAAGATCTTCCATCCGATGATTCACTCCCCAAGTGAGCACAACGGGCCGATGCTATGCCGATCCGAAGCCAGGAGCCTCTTCCGGGTCTCCCACGCGGGTGCAGGGTCCCAAAGCTTTGGGCCGTCCTCGACTGCTTTCCTGGGCCACAGGCAGGGAGCTGGAAGGGAAGCAGGGCTGCCGGGATTAGAACCGGCGCTCTAATGGGATCCCGGGCGTGCAAGGTGAGGACTTTAACCACTTGCGCCACCGCGCCACCGCGCTGGGCCCGTATTAACAATACTTTTAAGAAAAACAATATTTTCTTTAAAAAGAAGTAAAAGTTTATGAATATTTAGAAACCATACAACATTTCACAACTATCCACAATTACATGTTCTGTGTAACAACGATGCGTGTAGCTCTGAGTGGTGGAAGCTTCCTTCAGAAGGGATGTGATACCTAGGTCACTGTAATTCTTACTACTCTGTTTCATTCATTGCCTGAAACAGCATGGATCATCAAATTATTCCATCACTACAGAAACTTTCAAAGACCTCATAGAGCAAAATCATTCCCAACCAGAGAAGGAAGGCTATGTGACAAGCAAAATGAAGGCTTCATTTCCTTTCATGTCAGTCCATGGTAATCATGTTACAACAAAAACAGCTAGGATAGAGGTATAAGAAAAAATTTTTAAAAGAAAAAAAAACAAGAAAATATGCATTTAGGAGAAACAATAAATATATTCATTGAAAGACAATAATAATTGCACTTTCTAACTCTAATTTTGATTAAGAAAGATTTTAAAGTTGGGGTTTAGAATATAAGCTCTAAAATAACTTTTGGTTATTATTTTGGTTATTATTATCAATTATACCTGTCTCTCCCCCAACACAACTGGTAATCATCAAATTATAACATTTACTTCTTTAAATATTTTATACTTTCTATCCGTCTGTTATACATATTCATTTAAAATGCTAGTCTGCTCATGAACTGATTTTCTCTATTAGAGAAAAAAAAAAAAAAAGATTTGCTTAACAGCAAGTTCATTTTATCACAGCTACTTCATTGAAGTGACATTTTTCTCCAATTTCTGAAAAGCCTGAACCGGTTTGCACCCAGCTTGACCCAACAGCTGTAGTTCCTCTGCTCTCACTCCCTAATTTGTTTGCACTTGGCTTATATTCCTCACTCTTTGGAGTGTGGCTGATTATACTTGTCTGGAAGGCTTAGAAGCTGTAAAATATCTGGACCTGCTCACATTTCAGCACAGCCAGACAAGGCTCAGGCTACAATTTGGAACTGCACACACTTAAATGGGGCGTGAGAGCCCAGAGACGGCAACAGCAGCCTGCCAGCTTGAAGACTCGTCTTCACAGCCACTCACCATATGTTTGGCTGCAAACCGAGGACCAAAGAGGCCAAGATGCAAAACTGAATTCAAATGGGTTTCTGTAAACATATGTGGTTGGTGTGGGTCAGATGAAACATTCATGATCAGAACCTCCTAAACCCAATAGCAATATAACAAGGAGAGTCCTTCCAGCTTAACAATGATGACACGGTGATTTGAACAAAGAGAAAGTAATATAAAAAAACCTTAATAATAATTCTAGCTTTTAAGATACACAAATAAGAAGCAGTGTTAGATATGTTTAAATGACAGCAAGCAATCATTTGTAACCTAGCTTAAAACATAGGAAAATGAGCCCAGAAACATTAGAAAGCTGTTTATCTAATATTAGAATATCTAATAATAAATTTACCATTGAGACAAAGAAAAAGAAGAAATTTGTAGCCAATTTCCCTAGATTGAAAATATATATCAATCATGAATAAAGTCAGTGATTGAAAACACAAACTTGAAATCCAATTCATAATTTTGTCAAAACATTTAAAAGTTTAAGCTGTTGTTACAGTGTCAATGCTGTGTCCTTTCAAAAATACATATGTTGAAACTTAAGGCATTTTAAACCGGTGATTAGGTCAGTTGATAGTTTGTAAGGGATCCATGCATTTTGAAAGAGAAAAAAAACAGCACACCCTTACCGCAGCATACACACAGCTAAAGGATGTCCTGTTTGAATCATACCATGGGTGCAGAGTCTGCCAGCTTCTAAATCTTGAACATTCCAGTCTTCAGAACTGTGTGTATATATATATATATACACATAGTATATACATATACATATATGGTATACACATATACATATGGTACATACATATACATATATATACATATATATACATATATATATGGTATTTTCTTAGTGAAGTCAAAATGGAAAAAAACAGGCCCAGCACTATAGCGTAATGGTTAAGGTACTGGCCTTGAATGTGCCAGCATCCCATATGGGTGCCGGTTCTAATTCCAGCAGCTCCAATTCCTACCCAGCTCCCTGCTTCTGACCTGGGAAAGCAGTTAAGGATGGCCCAAAGCCTTGGGACCTGCACCTGAGTGGGAGACTTGAAAAGAAGTTCCTGGCTCCTGACTTCGGATTGGCTCAGCTCCCGCCATTGCGCTCACTTGGGGAGTGAATCATTAGATGGGAAATCTTCCACTCTGTCTCTCCTCCTCTCTGTACATCTGACTTTCTAATAAAATAAATGAATCTTTAAAAAAAAAGGACTAAGATAGTTGTTGATCCATTTGTTGACCTCAGCACCTTAGAATCGTAGACTGTCCCATGCAATGATACCATTTTCACTTTTAAAATTCCTTATTTTAGTATTTTGGAGTAGTCAGAAATGGCAAATTTACTCACCTTATTTTTCTTGCTTAAAGAAAATCTTAAATATATTAGCCTAGATTTTGGATTTTTTAAAGATTTATTTATTTATTTATTTAATTGGAGACAGAGGGGAAGATCTTCCATTGGATGCTTCATTCCCCAAGCGGCCGCAATGGCCTGAGCTAGGCCAATCCGAAGCCAGGATCCTCCTCCAGGTCTCCCATGCGGGTGCAGGATCTGAAAATCTCCAGGTGTCCTTGACTGCATTCCCAGGCCACAGACAGGGAGCTGAATGGGAAGTGGGGCTTCCGGGATTAGAACTGATGCCCGTATGAGATCCCCGGGGTGCTCAAGGCAAGGACCTTAACCACTGTGCTATTACGCTGGGCCCTAGACTTTGAATTAAAAAAAAAAAAAAACTAAATTAAATTGAATAATTAAACACATCCTTTTTTTTTTTTTTTCCTTTCTTTCCAAAATTTAATGTTAGTTGACCAAACAAGGAGGGAAAAAAAATCCCATGGAGTGCAAGTGTCAAAGCTAAGCCTCCTCAGAGGCTCAGGCAGAGCTGTGGACAGCATATCCAGGTGCACATGGAGGATATGGCAGTCCATCAGAACCTGCAGAAGACACTTGGTACCACAACAGAGGACAGAACAAATCAATCAACTGCCCTAGCCATGTATTGACAGTGAAAATCCGGGCAAACAAAGACTCTAAAGTGAACTATGTCAACCAGTGGATTCTGGAAAGATTTCATAGTGTTTGACATGGTGAGATTGGCAGCAAGTCAGAACTGATGAACTATCAAAACCACTTGAGCAGGAAGTTCGGTGCATGCCGCAGGTCGTGGCCCTGGGATTGGTGGGAGGCTGACTGGGGCTTCTCCTTTTATCTCCCCTCTTGCCCCAGATACAATAATAATAATAATAATAATGTGGAAACAATGGTTTTACCCACTTTCCTGTAGCCCTTGACTCTTTGCGCTCTAATCAACTACATAAAGATTATCAAAATAAAATAAAATATTCTTTAAAAAGGAGAAAAAAACTACCTTGCTACATATAATTACCTTTTGTGAATAGAATCACTGAGTAATTCTTTAGAGATGTCAGCAACTTCAAAGTGCTGTGACATTGCTTTTAAAATAGTGCTTGGCCCCGACTTGGTACCTAGCAGCAAAAATATTTACCTTGAATGTGCAGTATCCCATATGGACGCCAGTTCTAACACAGGCAGCCATGCTTCCCATCCTGCTCTCTGCATGTAGCCTGGAAAAGCAGTCAAGGATGGCCCAAAGCCTTGGGTTCCTGCTCCCGAGTGGGAGACCCAGAGGAAGTTCCAGGCTCCTGGCTTTGGATTGGCTCAGCTCCAGCCATTGTGGCTTCTTGAAGGGATTAATCAGCCGACAGATGTTCCTTTCTGTCTCTCATCTTCTATGTGTTTCTGATTTTGCAATAAAAATAAATCTTTAAAAAGATAGAATTTTTCCCCTACATGGTACAAAAATAACCTTCTGAAGCATAGCTGATCCTCACTGAATGGTGATGGTATGTTGAGGCATTTTTTCAGTGTTTATCAAAGTCATGTTATGATTCCCAGGAAGGAGAGGAAGTAGAGTTACATCAAGCATGAAACATGTATTTGAAAAAGTGACTTGATTCACAGGTCCAGAAAGTCGCATCGGAGCTAAGAAGCATTTTGTTTAGCTTTAGCACTTAACGAGATAAAAGTACATGGTTTTGAAATGTGGCTGCCTTAAAAAAATAACATTTGGAGAATGTATATGACTATAAAAACAAACAAAACTATAAAGAGCTTTTTAGCATGGCAGGAAGTGGCAGAAATCCAGATGTTCTCTTTTTATATTCTTGGATCACCACCAAGGAGCAAAAAATAGCATGGATCACTGCTGACCTGTATCCCTTGAAGAGGAAGTGCTGTGTCTAAGACAGCAGGCATTACTCAACATTCTTTTACGGAGGTCTGGAGAGTCTCAAAATCTGGCACTTCTATTCGCACATCTGAATCCCCGTTATAATCATGGTAAGGAAAAGTATGTTTGAATATATGAATGAACAAGGATAACCAACATCTACCATTTATATACGAAAATAAAACTAGCTGAGCAATTTTACTTAAGATTCAGTCTTTAAAGCAGATGTTGCACAGGTAATGGAATTGATATTTCTCAATTAAAAAAATAAGACAGGTCTACTTGAAAAGCCAAATAGTTACAAATCAAGCATGTGGCAATCTACTAGTGTAAACATTTGAACACAAATTTGCATCTTGTCATTTTCACCTTTTATGTGATTCTTCCAAAGGACACAAGTTTACCGTCCAATAAAAAAATACTTTCCATTTTTTTCATATTTTGTTTTTGTTAGTAAGATTAAATAAAACAGAATTAAACTTAAAATATGATACTAATGCCTGAAAGCAATTTCAAAATAAGAAAGATGTTTCTTGTTTAACGTTTGGATACAGATGTGTGTGTGAGATGTATGCAGTATTCAGAATAGAGGATTAATATGCAGAGCAAGTGTGTTGTTTGTTTAGGTAAAGGACAAAGCACTGGGAAAACTGAAAAATGGAAAGAGTGGGAAGAAAACAGAATTAGGAAGCTGTGGGAAACCTACCATCTTTGCTTTCACAAGGGAAAGCTTGTCCTTAGGAAAAGGAAGGGCAAAAATTCAAAACTATCACTAAAATATAAATAAAATAACAAAACTAAAAGATCAAAAAGATTAAATCAGTGAGAAGACAAATCTTTGAGGATTAAGAATTCAAAGAGCTTTCAATAAAGGAAATAAAGCATTGCCATCTCAATATCTCCAGAAAATATTTAAAGAAATTCAACATAGCTTAGTGATAGAAACTCTGAACAAATTATGTTTAAGAGAAATTCGCTTCAACATAATAAAGGGCATGTATAACAATAACATTACTGAAACAGGACAATTTGAGGGCTTCTAAGATCAGAAGGATGCTGATTTTTACTACTATGGCAGTGAATGTCTCAGCCTGAGAGATTAGGGGAATGAGTTGCAAAATTGGAAGCCAATTTGTTAAAACTTGCAAATGATCTTATATGTGGAAAGCACAAAGATTCAATCAAAACTATAAAAAGTCAATATATGAAACTTAGTAGTGTTTTATACTAATAGAGAATTATTTGAAAAGGATCAAGAAAATGATCTCATTGCTAATAGTCACAAATGATTGAGGGTTTCCTTGGGTGAACAAAATATTTCTAGCTTGATGAAAACCCATTTGTTCACTTTCTTTGTTCCCTGTGTTTCTGGGTTTGATTTAAAATTATTCATTTGCCTTTGCCAAATTCCTAAAATAAATCTCCTATATTTTCATATGTAGTTGCATAGTTTATGACTGATCTTTGGGTCATTAATCCAATTTAATTTTAGTTTTATACATTGTAGGAAAAAATGGAGTTTAATTTCACCCTTTTGTATAAAATACACCACAATAGTTCAGCAATTTAAAAAAAAGTAACCAAAGAGATAAAATCCCTCTATAATGAAATTGAAAACCATTTCTCACAATACTAAATGACACACACAAAAAATTAAAAGGCATCTTGTGCTCATAAATTGGATCGACCAATATTATTAAAATGAGCTTAATACTCAAAGTAACACAGAGACGCTATGCAAACAGCATCAAAATTTCTATTATATTTTTCTTTCCTAGAACTAGAAAAAATTACCAAAACATTGTTGGGACCCCAACAGACACTATGAGCAGCCAAAGCAAACTTGATAAAAAAGTAACAAAGAAACATTCTGTGACTTTAAGTAAGACCATGAAGCTACACATAGCTATAGCACAACATAGAATGGGCATAAATATACACCTAGACTAATAGAGCATCATAGAAATCATACATAGAAGTCTGTGCATCTGCAGCCAACTAATCATTGTCACTAAGAAAACACAGTGGAAATAGGACAGGCTTTACAATAAATGGTGGTTCAAAAACGGTATGCACCTAAATGAATGAAGCTAAACCCCTATCTCCTACCATATCTATGTAAGTCCCCCTAAAAGTAGTTTAAAAACTGAAATAAAGAACCTCAAAATGTGAAATTAACAGAAGTAAACACAAGGGAAATGCTTCAGAGCATCGGAGTATGCAAAGAAGGAAACAAAAGCAGAAGCACACAAATGGAACTTCATAGAGCTACGTTCCCTGCACAGCAATGGAATCCATCAACAGAATGAAAAGAAAACAAACAAAAACAAAGAGAATGGTGGTAAATATGTTAAGGCTAAACACCTGGTTAATAGCTAAAATATCTGACACACAACCCAACAACAATACAACAACAAAAAGAAAATATATCAAAAACAACTTGTCCAGTAAAAAGAAGGTAATAGCTCTAAAAAGGTTTTTCAAAAGAAGGCATAAATAACCATCAGGCTCTTGAAAAAATTTTTACTCAATATCACTAACCATTGGGGAAATGCAAATTTAAGCTACAATGAGATACCATGACCATTACCCAAAACACAAAAGGGGTGTTTACATAATTACTAAGATGCTGCTTAGGAAACATGTGACACCCTTGTGTTCAAGTACCTGCTGAGTATGGATTGCAACTTCCCCTTACTGCACACTGTGTCAGCAAAAGGACTTGGATCTCTACCACCCATGTGGAAGAAATGAATGGGGTTTCCAGCTCATGCATTTATTTGCCTGGTTTAACCTCAGCCATTGGGGGAATTTGGGGATTGATCTAATGAAAGATCTATAATTTTTCTGTCTCTTTCGGGTTCAATGTCTTTCAAATAGAATAGCATAAACAAAACATATTCTTAAAGTACTGGTGAGGATGCAGAGGGAAACAACAACAGCAACAACAACAACGAAAACTTTCGCCCACTGTTGGTGGCAATGTAAAGTACTACAACCAATACTGAATTTCCACTGTGGAAATTCTTTGTAACTTACAAAATGGAACTGACATATTGTGCAGAAATTCACTGAGTATATATCCAAAAAAGAAAGGTAGCTTGTTGAAGAAACATCAGCACTCTCATATTTCTTGAAGCACTATTCCCAGTAGCCAAAACTTGGAAGCAACTAAGTCCATCAGTTGTTGAACAAGTAAACAAATTGTGGCACAGGATGGAGTGATATCCAGCCAGAGACACACATGAGAAGTTGTCATCTGCATCAGCATGGATTGTACTAGGGGTTGTTCTAAGTGAAATTAGCAAGTTTCAGAAACACAAGACCTGCATGAGTTTATCCATAATCCAGAAAGTTGATCTCAGCAAAATTCTCAATAGAATCATTCTTATGAGATCCTAAGCATAGTTAGGGAGAGAGAGACACAAAAAATGTTGACTAGCATGTACTAACTTATAATCAAACAGGACAAAAATGTTCTGGTATTCTATTGTACAGTGTAGTAGCAAAAGATAATGAGATAATGAAAATATCCTATCCATTTTTCTTAAGTTATAACATTGAAGAAATGATATACAATATTTTCGCCAAAAAGAAATTATAAAGTATAAGAGATAGCTATATTTGATCATTACAGAATGCATGCATGTATTGAAATATGCATGTATTGAAATATCCCATGGAACCATATATACTATTTATATTTCAAGTAAAGTAGCC